ACCAGAGATCACGGGCGCGGTAGGCTCAATCAATACTTCCACTCCAGGCCTCCAACCAAGGTTTGCCTGCAAAGGTATCTCTTGCTTATTGTTATCATTCTTTATCCCAGAAGCTAGCAATCCTCCCCCCTCCCAAGGGGACACGGCCTCGCCTCAAAAGGCTCCCTAATGCCTACAATAACAGGGTTAGCATGCAGAAAGAGAAAGTGTTTTTTCAATTAAAAGAAGGGAACAGATTGCACAACACAAATCATGGTATTTTGCCTCCCACCTATCCTTAGATAAAGCTCGCCACTTACGATCGTTATGATATGACTGGGTCTCCAACTTCCGAACCCAATCCGGCAGATCAGGAACCTCGCCCGGCATCCATGAAATCGCTGCAGAAAAAGAAAAGAAGGCACACTTATGGAACATCCCTTCGCCATAATTGAAGAATTGTCAAGGCATGAGTGTACCACTTACGTGTATAATTCCATTCCTCAGGGAATGGCATAAACGCCACGAGGATAATATTTGCAGTTCGTACTCGGACGAATCGACTCATCCACTCTCGACCCCCATCTTCTTCATCATCGACAAAGAAAGGCATGGCCGACCGACATCAAAAGGTTAGCAGAATTCGATGATGAAACGGCTGGTATAGTTTGATAAGATGGCTAAGCATAAATTCAAGCCCTGCCTTCTTCGCAATGAACCTCACCATCAATACTATCAGCCAAAATGATGGGTAAATCTGGGACAAGGTAACCCGATACTTTCAACAGAAGTCAAACACAACCCTGTCAAGGGGGCCCGACGTGAAGGGATACGTGAACACATTCAGAAATCCCTCGGCTCCGGGGATGGTACCTGCAGCACCACCTTTTCCCCCCATCCACAGTCTTTCCTCACTACCTCAAAGTATCCCTCTCTTATTGAAGAAGTAAACTCCAAGGTATGCTCTTGTTGGTCTAGAGCATCAGGGCACTTTTCTAGTGAAAATTCCCCTTTCGAAGCAGAACGCTCCGAGCCAACAAGGTGAGAACCGGAGGCGAAACCCTTTCCTCCTTGCCGAACGGATCCTGATGTAGCAGTCATAACTACAGCAAAATTGGAGAACTGGAGCAGGAATTTAGGCCAGAGCGCCAATACTGAAATAATGAAAGGCCTAACGCAGGAAAAAGGGTAACTTCTCAGAATGGTGGAATCTCCAAAAAAGCGGAAGCAGCCTTATATATGGAAAAACCGGCAACGATCTGCCTGCCCCAGAGGCCTATTAAAATGTTGGCCGAAATCACTTTAGGAAGATATGCCAGTGGGGTTGCCTCGGTCACTTTACAGCCATGTCTCCCATTTGACAAGCGTCGTGTGACGTTTCGAGATCGGAGACCCCTGCACCAAAAAGGTTCCAAGGTGGTATCCGACCTCGAGGTCCTCCATCAAAAAGAAGTTAGGCTCCAGGAAGCCTTTGGCATCATCACCAGTCCCTAGATGGTACCCGATCTCGAGGACCTCCATCAAAAAGGAGTCAGGCTCCGGGAAGCCTTTCGCATCATCGCCAGACCCGAGATGGTACCAGATCTCAAGGATATCTCCAAGGGGCCATCGACGTAATTACAAGACTCAAGACGGAACCCAGTTTCGAAGGCTCCTCTCAAGGAGAAAAATAAGCATTTGAAAGCCTAAAGACATTCTCCATTCTCGAGCTTCCGGGCGAATCCCCCCTCGAAGATTATCGCATGGTCTAAAAGCTAAATCTCGATTTGGGGGTTTGAAGTCCTACTCTCATTCAACTCGAATTCAGGGTCCCAACGACCCGAGTTTGTCAGTCCAACCCAGGATCGATATTTGTACCAACCGATGGGGTCACTCACTTAGATTCTACACAAGCATAGATAAAGGGAAAATAGTATACATTAGAGACAAAAAAAAAAGAAACACTTTTCGTTCATAAACGTTCGATTATAAAAGCCCACGAGGGGTCCTTACATATGATTACAAAAGCCCACAAGGGGTCTTTACACAGAAACACAGAAACAAAGAAACAAAAAAGGTACATATGCAAGAAAAGCCTAGAGTCTAATCTTTGCTCGAGTGTTCATCTTCGGCGGCAATACTTCGAGCGCCATCCCTCAGGTATGCTTCCTCGACATCAGTGTCTTCGACTTTTACCTCCTTGGGGGTCTCATCTTGGTCCTCCAAAATGATATCTCTGAGGGCGAATATGAAGAAGAGGAAAGTGGTTGAGAAGAGCAAGTGACGCATAAGAAGCAGAAAGGAACGAAGAAGTGGCTTGGTGAAAAATATGGCTAGCAAGTATTTTGCCAGTGCTACTATTGTAAAGCCACTTCTTGGGACGTTGCTCCGATGTGGGATGCAACAGTTAGTAAATAGTACCACCCCACTCCACGGGAAGCAAAGGGAGTGAGGCGCCGCACCAGGTAATCAGGGGAGGTGAGCAGCGGTGTATAGTCCGAACTCCCTCGTGAGCAGTGGTGTAGAGTCCAAATATTTTCCTGAATCGGGAGAAATCGGTCCCCCTATATCCTCGTCTAGGGCCAACGACGATAGCAGTAATAACAATAACAACAACAACAACAACAATAAGTTGATGAGAACGCTACCAGACAGCCTTGAGGCCACGGGCCTCAGACATGGGAAATGACAGCGGATGAGGATAGAGAGAAGAAATGGGAAAAAGGTTGATTGAAGAGCACTTAAACAAAAAGCTGATTCCAGGAGGCCCCCATTTATATGAGGGGAGGCAATGTAACCGACAGCTCCATTATTGTCTTTGAAAGACGTAACAGTAGGCGCATTTAATGCATCCTTGGGAGCTGAACTGGTGGTGACATTACTGCTTTGAATAATAAGAAACATTAATGCTTTGAATGATTCTAGAAAGTTGAAACGACTGGACAACTCGATTGTCACGGAGGCTTGCGCCATCAGTATGACATCATCACGGCAAATTCGGAAAGATGGTTATCAAGGTCGTTTCTTATCGTTCTACTCTACGAAACGCGGGGACTATCTATATACGGTATAATTGGGGGGGGTCCAATTTTCCATCGTTGTGACGCCTCGAAGGCTCGAAATCACGGTCGTGTTTCATCCCTCGAGGGCCATCGACGCTCGACCTCAGGACAGTATGAGGCTGACGGTTACAGGAAGAAAATAGGGAGTTCCCAAGGTGTGAAGCTAAAGCCGACAAAATCTGTTAGGCTAGTCTGAGCCCGTATTGTGGCATTAGTTAGTTGTCCCATCTCCATATCTTTGTAATAAATGCACTTGTACTATATTGGGATTCCCCCTCTTATATAAAGGGGATCCTTGTCATTTTGTAAACATCTGTTGCTCCATACTAAATATACTAGAATGTGAACATTCTCTCTACTCTCTAACACATTCCCTCGGTTTCATTATCTTAGTTATTGCTCATATTTATTGTGTTCTATTTATTGTTCATTATTTATTGCTTATTATTGGCCATAAAGAGCCGCATTTGATCTATTTATAATTGTTATTCACCATCGACCGCCTTTGATAGCTCCTAGCCGAGCTTCAGACTCGACCTCGAGGCCCTCGAATAGGCAAGCTCGAGGCCTCGATTGATAGCGATTCGGTTTGATTAACACCTTGTTCTGAAGCTCTTATTTCGTTTCTAAGTCTTTCACATAGCATCAACTGCCTAAGTACTAGCATAAAAATACATCACGTAATTTTAGAACCACTAAATCAAATTTAATTGTTATTACTATTTTCACGGTAAATAGTATGTAATAACCATTACACTATTTTTCTTTATCTTTATTTTCACTTTTGGCATGTATATATTCATTATTTTCACTTTTGGTATGTATATATTTTTACCATCAGATGTGTATATTCATTTCCATTTATGTATATTCGCATTACTTCAAGTTTGTATATATTCTTTAGTTTAATTACCGTAGTTTACTTCATAGCATTTTTTGTTATTTTTCCTTATTAGCATAGCTTCTTATTTCCTTTAGTAGCTTCTTTTTAAGTTGTTAGCTTTTTTTTATTTTTTTATGTAAACAAGAAGCCTTTGGTTTTCTTAATTCCATGGTTCTTTTCAAAGATGGATGTTGTGTGAACCGGGTGGCTCTTCCCAACTATGGATAGCGTGACAACCTTCTTAAGGGATTGAGTTCATTTTATTTATGTTTTGGTGTAAATAGTAGTAATGAATAAAAGTGTCTCAAGCAGGATTCACTTGGTACTAACATATTCACCTTCGTCCTTATGGTTAGAAACAAGTTGATTGGCAAAGAATAGTTCTAGTTGTGACCTTTAGACTCTTGTGTTGACTAAAACAATCATCGAGTGGTTTCTTTGAGCCATTTGTGATGTTCAATCTTAGCTAGGATTGTTGTGGACTCTCAACTCTGTACTCTTTAATAATCCAACAGCTTGTGAGGTGAGGTATTGAATTGCAAGTCCAAGTTCTGTGCCAATAAGTCTAGAACTTGCCTTGAATGTTTGTCTAGGCGAAATTCTAAGTGTAGCTCGACTTGAGAAATGATTGTATGCTATCCTTAATCCAATTTTAAACTTGAAAGATTCCTTAGCCTACTAATATGATATCCATAGTGTTGACACCCAATTTTGTCCATCCTTATTCCATATTATTCTAATGAGCTACTATTTTATTTAAGAGTCGTAATAATATTTGTAGCATTTTTTATGTATTATTACAAGTACTATAAATTATTATTATTGTTATTATTATTATTATTATTATTATTGTTGTTGTTGTTGTTGTTGTTATTATTGTTATATGTTTTACTACATATTAGCGATTTTTAAAAAATATAAAGCATTTATAATTTTTTTCTTTAGCTTGTTCAAACATTAATATAAAATACTATTTTTTTCAACTTTATATCTTACCTTTTCATTAATTATCATTCCTAATTATTTTATTACTATGGCATTTTAATTAAGTAGTAGTTCAATTATCATCGTTAGACCTAACCCAAATAATCAATTAAGCCCAAAACCCAATTTCGTTGAAAATCCCGTCAACCTCGTCGCTGGCAAACCATCCAACGCCCCTCTCTTCAAATCTTTTGATTTGCTTCCTTAACTTACTTTTTTTTTTTTTTTCTTTTCTTCTTTTCCTTTTTCCTTCTGACTTCTTTCCTTAATTAATAGGTAACTGAATGGTAAGTGAGCTCGACTCGGAACCGAGATTTTACCTCCATTTTTAGTCCAAATCCTTGTCATGTATGAAGTTTTGTACATTCGGCTTTCTTTTTTGGGCATCCATTAGATTAATCTAGACAGATTTTGAGGTAAGTGCTTCATCTATTCTTTCTTTTCTCATATGAATCTGATTTTGATTTTAGAAGTTCAAATTACAGAATATTTCTTTTGATTTTCGGATTTGAAAAGAAGTTTTATTTTCGAATCTTACTGATTATATGGAACTAATTTTTCCCAAAACTTCAGTACCTTGGTTGTTAGCATTAATTACCAACGGCTCTTTTCAAAGAAAATTTCCTTGTAATGATACACAATTTTTTACTGATTTCTTTCCTTCCTAATTAACCTTGATTTTATTCAAAACTATAAATATTGGCATTCTTGGCACTGCACGGGGAGGTCGGATCATATTTACTTTCTTGTGATTACTAGTTTACTACCCTTTGATCAGCTTTCTTTGTTATTGTTTCTCTCTGCTGACTGGGAGTCAAGTTACAAATTTTGGCATCTCTGTGTTATTACAAGTTGTTCATCGCTCGCGCACTGCTGCCGGTTGATTATTGCTTGTCCTGAAAATCCGATTTTCTGGTCTTTTCTATATTGTTTTTGCACGTCATAACCGCTGTTTGCACTAGTTTATTATTGTCCGTGGCTGTTAGTTGTTGGTGCATATTGGTTTTGGGTGTTATTGTATTATGCTGCTCTGCAATAGCTGTTTCCTGTTGGAAGCCTTGTGTATTCTTGGACATGCTGAATGTCGTGCGAAATTCCATTTAAAGCTTGCCAAGCTTAAAAATCAGGTACGTCTCTTAAACCTCAGTATATGCTTAATTCTACTTGTTGGTTGCGACTGTTGTGCGCTAGAGAACCCGACTATAGGATTATCATCTATTTTGATTCGTACGATTTTGTTCAAATTATTTTGTCCACTAGAAACTATGACTTAAGGGTAGCCAAAAAAAGTAATAACTTTGTGTATGCGCACATCCTGCCTAGACTTTCGGCCCATATTGTGTTTCTGTATTTCACTCAGACGCCATATCGAAAGATCAATTTGATACTTCTTTAAATGAAAAATCTTATGTCTAATAGATACTCTGATTACCAGAATATGTTCGCGCATTGACCACATAGATACTATGTCATTAGGATTTAATTCATCCAGATAACCCATCCTATAGGACAAAGCATTAAGATAACTTGCTAAATAATGCATAAAATTTGTCCTTTATTTAGTTTGATTAATTAATAATCCATGTCCTTCCTATTTTTCTGTTTGGACTGTTAGTGAATTTGAGTTTATATAAAGAGCATATATTTGGGAGTAGTTAAATCATTAACAACTGCTAAAAATTTATTCTTGTGTTAAAATCTACTCTGTTCTATGTCTCGGTGTTTCTTGTGGGTTTGAAGTTGCAAATGTCCTGAATCCGCCATTGGGGAGCATGCTATTAAGATGTAATGCGTTTCCATGATAAAATTAGTCTCCAAACGTGTTGCATAGATGTTCTTTGTGTGTTCTAGTTTAGTTTTGAGATTGCAGGAGCCTAATTTTAGTTTTAGGCCAAAATTGGAGGCGCATGGAATTTGAGGAAGGTTCAAGAATGTATGTTCGTACCCTTTCATGTCTTGAGGTCCATTCTAGTTTATTTAATCTATTGTGGCCCTGTAATAACTTTATAAAAAATGCTCTGTAATAGTGAAGGGGCTACTATGGATGAGAACTTGCTCGTCACTTGTTTGTTAAGCGACGTGAGAATTTTTTTGCATTTCAAGATCGTAATTGATAAAATAAAAAAGCATTTTGACCACCACTAACATGTGATTTAGCTTAATCAGATTTTTGCCTTGCGTACTTCTATTTATTTCCCTAATAATTTCGAGTATATCATAGGCTCTTAAAAATATGTTCAACCTCCTAAATATAGTGCTATATCAGCCACGTTCCTTTTCAAATTTTATCCTTTCTCTACTAATAATGTTTTGCTCAAACGTTTGGCCTTTTGTCTATTCCAAAAGGCACACTTCCCTATCATCTTTCGATTTACTTCAAATGAAAGAATCCAGTCATGCTACCGTATAATATGCAGCTTTCTTACCGGTATCTATATATAAATATAAAGCTGAGAATGAAAAAGATGATGTGACACTCCCTATGATCATCAATAGTATTTATCTATTTTTTCCTTTTTCCTGCAATTTCTTCTTCATTCTGCTATAGAACAAAAAAAATTGGTTCGGAAAAAGACAAATGGGTTTTGCTTTTGAAGGGCCACGTTAGTAACGTAAAACGCTAATCTGGAAGGTTGCATTTGTAACGTAAAATGCTGACGGTTATGCTTCTGAAAAGTCAAACTCAAATTAATTGTATTTAATTTAGGCTTCCAAATATAATGGCCAAGTCTTTCACCTTCTTTCTTCTTTCTCCAATATCTACCTATGGAAAGTGCATCAATTCTAAACACACTGCAGTACACGTATGGCTCCTTATTCTGTCTTGCAATATCGCTTTTCTTCATTTTGTGAAATTATTACCAATGATATGATTGCTTGACTTAAAGTATTGCTATTCTTCTATGTATGTAGTTGTAGTTTTGCAGAAAAAACGAGAGATGTGCCCGCTGCCCACCACCACAAGTAAAATCTTGCAGATGCCGCCTCAAGTTTTCCATTCTCATGACTATCTTGACGTCTGTAAATAGATGCGATCATATACACATATCATTCCACTTGAGAATTCAAGTATTGAAGGAAAAAGTAATAGAAACAAGAGTGTGCAGCTTCATTGTTCATCTTCAATCTGTTTTATGGGAATTTTTGACATAAGATCAATACGTCAGACAACCACATGATAAATAATATCCCTCTTTCCTTTTTTAACTCTTAGTTTTTTCGTTTAGTTTCTTCCTGACTAAAAGAAGGTGTGACAACTATTTTAATTTCTTGATCTGAAACTCTTTATCTTCCTCAATTTCTGCTACGTTATAATATATAATTAACTAAAGGTGTTATTTGAAGAAAATTCCGTTCTAAAGGACTAAATAAGTTATCCAGAATGACAATTGTCCGCCTCATTCTGTAGGAAAAATGATAAAAAAGAATTCACAGAAGTTGAAGAAAAAAATTGTGAAGTTAGTGGTATATACGGAGATATAAAACTCTCTTGGCAATTGGATTCAAAAAGAGATCTCTCCAACTCTCTTTCTCCTTTATTTATTTATTTATAATTAATTTTTAACTCTATCTCTCTCTCCCCCTTATTTTGCCGTTTCTTGGATAAGAGATAAAAATTGGAAGTTTAATCCTTTGACCATTTTTATATTCGCTTCTTTCACAAAAGCTCACTTTTAGTTTTCTCATCTAGCTCGGGTGTTGTATCAAGAGTTTAAGATATTTCAAGAGCCTAATATACTTCTTAATTATTTCGGAGGTGAACATGAGCCCTTACTTACCTCATGTGTTACTTGTTTAAGTCTCGATGTGGTCCCTTTTACGTGACGCTATTAATAATAGAAATAGAAACTCGGCGTTTTATTTAAGTATAGAACCAACTCTTTAGATAGTGTCCAACGCCTCCGGGACTATAAGAATGGGACGGGTAGGCTTACTAAGGTACGATTTAGAATCAACTAGTGCGCATTAGGTAACAACTTAAACATAGTAATGAGGGTAGCGGACATGATACATAAATTGCCCGAATAGCCTTTGCACTTTTGGCAATAAAAGTCTTAGCAGACTTTGTACGGGAGTTGATCCATCAGGCTTAAAAATTTAGGTCCCCCTTTAATGTAATTAAGTAGGCTTTTATAATTTACAATTCTTACATTTTTATCATGACTAATTTTAATTAATTGCTTTTAATTGATGTATATACTTGACCATTTAGGATTAATTCACAACTTAGTAACCTACATCTTAGTTTCATTCAATAATTCCACATAGTCAAAAATTCGGTCGGGAACTACATTTGTGGCTCGAATAGTGCCTAACCCCTTCTCTTTGAGGTAATCTGAACCCTTACCTGTCTTTAGTAGCGAAGACTAATTAAATCACAGTTGCAAAGAGGTGCCCTAATGCACCTTAAAATCGTTAGGTGACCACTCTTCTCTTTTAATAAACCCTTTAAAAGAGTTGGCACATGTCAAAACCCGCTTTTCGCGAGAAAATGGGGTGCGACACCTAGTCAACCCCTTTGAGCCGAAGCCCTTTTTCTTTTAATAACCACGTTACAAGCCTTTATCCGTTCAATGATGACCCTCCCATGACACCCGATCTTTCCTTGGTATTCTTGATAGACAAGTGGCAAAAGCATAAGTTTGGGGGAGAGACGAGGAATGTGAAAGTGTCAAAAGGTATAAAAAACAAAACGAAATGAAGAAAAAAAAAAGCCAAAAAGAAATCTGTCAAAAAGAAAGTGAATAAGAGAGAAAAGTGAAGGGATTCAAAGAAAGCAATGATGAAAAGCTTGGAATGATTAGAAAAGGAGAAAAATGATTGTCATGAGCAAAAAAGAGTGACAGTGTGTGTCTCTAGTTCCCCTACGAAAGAAGAAAAATACTCAAAGAGTCAATAAAGTATGAGCCGAAATGAGAAAATGGAGTTCTTAAAGAAAGATGAAACCATCATGTGCCGATAAGTCATACCTTGATCTAAAAGCCTCCATTACATTCCCGCAAAAGCCCTATATGATATCGAGTTGAGTGAGCTTACATTAGTGGCGACTTACATAAGGGGCAAGCTTATGGTACTTAGAGCTAGCTGGACTTGTGCCATTCTTTTGAGAGATATGAGCGTACTTCTTCACAATCCTTGTTTTCAGTGTTACAATCTAAAGTGAGATTTGTTTATGGAGAGTAGAGAAGGAGAAGTTTGGGTTTCACAATGACCTACGTATTAGAGCGAGCTTCCTTGGTGAATTAAGTTAACTCTTGATGCTCTAGTGTCACATTAGAGTTATGGTACTCAAAGAGTGAAAGAATGGTGTTGTTTATAATTCATTTGTGTTGAGGGTAATTGTTAGTCCCAATTGATCCATGATTGATTCACATTAGGGTGGCTGAAATATCCTTCTGTTTTAGGGGAGGTGGGGATTACCTTATTGGCTTGAGGACAAGCAAACGCTTAAGTTTGAGGGAGTTTATAAGTAGAAATTTTAACCGATTATTTGCTCTCTTTTACTTGCGTTTTAGGCCAAAAATGCGTAAATGTATTCCCGAAAACTAATGTAATATGCTTGCTTGCAGGAATTGTTAAAATGAGCCAAATGAGTCATAATCAACTCATAATGGAGTCAAAACTTGAACAAAAATCAAGACTGGGCCAAGAGATCTGAAACGCAGACCGCACAAATATTCTGCAACTGCGAAAGCCACAATGCGTCCGTGATCAGAAATACGCGGTCAGCGTCAGAATTACGCGGCTGCAGAAGTATAATACGTGGCCACAATTGAAATTATGCGGTCCACGGAAACTCATCTCAACACAGATCCAGATTTGAAGAATGCAGACTGGGGTCAGAATTACGCGATCGCGAAAGCAAGAATGCGGCCGCTCTCAGAATTACGCAGCCGCACAACCTCTGCTGGGGTATTTTTATACGGAAATTTCAGCTTAATATAAATAGATCTTTTTGACATTTTTAGGGTATGTTATGTATTAGCATAGCATGTGAGATGGCTGGATATTCCGTTTTAGGCAATTTTGTACTAGAATTATCTTTCAACATTAGATTTTCATCTTTTAATCTAGTATTATGAGTTTTATCTTCATTTCCTCTTTAATTTCTCTTATTTCCATGAATAGGTAAACCCATTAGCTAGGGTTGTCACCCAACCCTAGTGTGGCATGTAATGGGTCTTCTATTTTAGGGCTTGCTTGTTTATGTGTTAGTGATATTTAGCTTGATTCATGCTTTAATTTTAGAATTAGTGGTTGCAAACACTGATTTGTGCCTTTATGACTTAGACTCTTTTTGAGAAAGAGGGGCTAAGTCTAGGAAAATCAGTCTAATAGGGAATTGGGGTGAACTCAAGAAATTGATAACCCCAATTAAAGGGTTAAACCTCGAATAGTAATACCTGACTTGAGCTAATATCACTTGAATTACATGAATACTCATTTGGACTTGAGAAAGCCAAATTGGGTAAAATCACTCAAGCTACCGAGAGGTGTAGAGTGAGTACCCAGGTGTGATAGCTATATTACAATCCCAAGTAATTAAGAACTTTTCCTAAATTTTACTATCCGTTAGATATCCACCTAGGTAGAAGTCACGACCCTAGTCTCTTTATACATTTGAAAACCAACAACAAAAATATTATCCTTAGATTTAATTATTGCAATCTTTAGAGTAAAGTTAGAAGTAGAAATCAAACCAACATTTGTGGAAGTTTAATTAGACTCAAAACTCGCATCTAGCTTAGATATAAACCTAAATCCAATTATTAACTCCCTGTGAATTCAAACCCGACCTAGTTGGGTTAAAACTGCATCGACTACCCTCTCTACTCAATAGTAGTGTAGGCTTGGACCCAATTAGCGGTACGTGCAAGGGTTGACGACCACCGTAATTTGAGCTAATTGGAGGCATTCAATTATTATGGCGTGTTATATGTAGATGGATCACAGAAGAGTTATGGTGGTTTAGACCACAACTTGAGGTTTTGTTTTTTCTACGGTTATGGGAATTCAGTCGCGTGATGCAATGGTTCTCCTGAAATGAGTTGGGTGAAAAGTTTCTATATGATGAAGTGTTTATTCTTTTAGTGATTCAAGAGTTATGATGAAATTCTTATACTCTCGTGTAGTGGCATGTTAGATGCAATGGGCGGCATGGGAATTGGATGTTGAGCAAAGTTTTTGTTCGGTGATGACAAGAATGTCACGAGCTCGGATGAGTAGTAAAGAATTCAGATGTATAGGGTAGGCTGGTATTTTTCTTTAGCGTCACCTGAAAACGGCGTCCGGTGTAAGAGGCTTTATGTACTAATTTGCGGGTTATCGATTTTCTTTACAACACTAGTATGGTCAGTGGTATGGATATGCAGACTTTGGTACCTGGTGTAGAAGGTCATTGGGGAGTATCCCACTGGATGATTGTATAAATGCGACATGCAGTCACTTCATTGATTAAAGATTGAAACCAAGTATGGAGAATATGGTACTATCGCTAATGTGAGAGTTTAGGTCTGGAAGACGCTCCATTCATTTGGTTGTGAATGGTGGATGTTCGTTCCGGATTGGACGACTACTCTTATGTGTCATGAATAGAATTGTCGTAGATCCTTGGGAGGTTACTAGCCTAGTACGATCAGAATCATCTTGAGGTCCGTGGATGGATCTAAATGTGAACGTGTGCTCTATACCAGGCCGGTTATGTTCGTTCAGCATAGCGTTTCTTATGGAGAAGTCTTCGAGCATCCAATGTTATTCCCGTCGTTAGCTATTCCATGTAATACTCTATTGTGCATGTGGATTGTGAGATGGCTTGATTATTCTCACATGTGTTGTGGTCCCGTATAGCTTGCGCTTTTATATAAGCAGGATGGCTCTCAAGATGCAGTCAGTTATTGCACCTTAGTCGGGCTTGAGTTTGTAGCGTATGGCGCTATCTGTTTCCTTAGGGATGGTATTATACACTTGGTGTTCTTGTCATCGACATTCGAGAATTTTGTAGGTATGAGAATTCTAGCTCAGTAGGTATTTCCTTATAGATTATTATGTGTGGATCGGGTGGCACGCCGCTAGGGGTATATTGTTTGGATCAGGTGGCACCCCGCCACAGGTAGGTTGTTTGGATGGGGTGGCACACGCCATGGGTATCATGGTTGGATCGGGTTGTACGCTGCAACGATATCATGTGTGGATTGGGTTACACGCCG